CGTCAAGATTAATTTTTACGAAAGTTATCTCGTGAGAGATTTTTGAGCATAATATTTATGGAAGTTGTTCCGTAAAATGTTATCGAGTTTGGTCGTAAGAGAACTGTTCTTAGAAAACTCATGTTTTGCGGCTATTCCGCAATTTTAGTTCATGGGTTTTAGTATCAGAAACTCTAGCGGTGATGAACTTTAAATATCGCGACCAAAGTTAATATAAAATTCTCTCGTTTTCGCAGAATTTTTCTGAGGGAGTTTTGAGTAGTTTTCTGAAGTAAGCTTAGGTGACAGTTATCGAGAATTCGCTGAATATGTTACTACAAAAGGGACTCTTAAGTCTTTTTACGAAACCTTAGGTTTAAGCAAATGTTTTAGCAGTGAGGGATATGATCTCCCCTTTTGCTTCGTTTAATCTTCGTCAACTGTTTATAGGTTTTGAATGGTTTTACAGAAATCAACTTTGTTTCTCCGAAAGTTATTCTGAAGAAGTACAGCCGTGGGCATTGCGTATCCAATTTTATGTGATTCTTTTTTTTTCTGCGAGTAATCTTGGGTTTCTCCGTGACTTCGGGAGGTTGATGCAAGTTTTATTTCTCCAAAGACTTCTATGAAATTTATTCAGAAGAAGTACATCGGTGAGTTGCAGACTCAATTTTCTGTGTTTCTTTTCCGCGAGTAACTTAAGGTTTCTCAGAGATCTCGAGGAGAGCAAGTTTTATCGACCGGTCCAAATCCAGAGTGAATTGAGATTTTCTCATGGTCATTTTGAGAGTCCTCCCAAAGGTAAAAAACCCAGTGGGAACCGAGATTTGTTGATTTCCGTAAAATAAGGAAAGTTAGGAAAACACTAATTTTCCAGAGGAACCGGATCTCTGCGAAAGCCAACGACAAGTAACCAAGAACGTGATTAATATGAATAAATTGAAAGATATAAAAATAAAAACGAGATTGAGCAAGAAGGATTCTTATTCCGAATTCGCGTAAGAACGGTTACAACGAGAGTTGCCTTAGCTGCATGAGCCGTCGGCAAAATTCCTAGTTCTAGCAATCTATGACTAAAACCATAGTTGAGATGCAGCTCGATAACGAAAACGGAAAATTACCTAAATGCTAAGTTTGGTGGTGAAAGCTCTGAAAACTCGTCCCTTTGCTTCTGCCCTATGCCTCTTGCTTATATACTCCCTTCCTAGGCGGTTTAGTCTTTCCATTTCGCCCAGATTCGAGTTTAATGGGAATCTTCCATTTATCTCGATCTTTCCTTTTTTCCCGCAGAAATCTTCTATTTATCCTCAAACTTGACATTTATCTTCAAGTTTGACGTTTATATTCTTTCTGCGAGTAAATCGCCACAACGTCGTCGTATCTTCTGGTTGGACTTCGTTTAAAGTCGCGAGTGGCTTTTATCGCGTTTTATGACTTTCCGAGCCGTTTTGCGATCAAATCCGTTTTACGACTTTAGACGAGATCGTTTCCTGATACGATTTACTCGGGGTTTTATTAAAAACGAGTTTTGTACGATTTTTACGAAAAATCTCGAATAAATCGTATAGTTTAGGCAAGATTCGGTGTTTCGTTTAACCGTTGCCGTTTTATACAATTTCCTCGAGTTCTTTTCGAGAAAACAAAGTTTTACGGTTTTTATCGTAAAACTCGAATGATAGGACGGATCAAGACGAAACGGGAGACATTTCGACTGTGATTCAGAATACGATCGTGTCGAAGGACGTATGCCTTGAATCAAGGATGTGGGAGATCAAGGCTCGGGATGGTCGGCTCGACGTACGGCGAGCTAGTTCAGCTTGGCCAGGTCGCCATATGGCGAACTAGGCGATAAGAACCTGTAGGGCAAAGTCAGTAGTTCGCGTGCTGGCGAACTAAGCCGGCATGGCTTAGTTCGCCAGTGCGAACTAGTCGAGGGACTCCTAGTTCGCCTGCTGGCGAACTAAGCCATCTCGGCTTAGTTCGCCAGCAGGCGAACTAGTCGTGAATAGTTCGCGTTTTGCGGCGGTTTTGGTTTTTCGCGATTTTGTAAAACGATTCTCGAATTTTATAAAACGATCTTCGAGTTTTATAAAATGATTCTCGAGTTTTATAAAATGATTCTCGAGTTTTATAAAACGATTCTTCGAGTTTTATAAAACGATTCTTCGAGTTTTTATAAAACGATTCTTCGAGTTTTATAAAACGATTCTCGAGTTTTATAAAATGATTCCCGAGTTTTATAAAACGATTCTCGAGTTTTATAAACGATTCTCGAGTTTTATAAAACGATTCTCGAGTTTTATAAAACGATTCTTTGAGTTTTATAAAATGATTCTCAAGTTTTATAAAACGATTCTCGAGTTTTATAAAACGATTCTCGAGTTTTATAAAACGATTCTCGAGTTTTATAAAACGATTCTCGAGTTTTATAAAACGATTCTCGAGTTTTATAAAACGGTCTTCCAGTTTTATAAAACGATTCTCGAGTTTTATAAAACGATTCTTCGAGTTTTATTAAATGATTCTTGAGTTTTATAAAACGATTCTCGAGTTTTATAAAACGATTCTTCGAGTTTTATAAAACGATTCTTCAAGTGTTATAAAACGATTTCTTTTATATTTTCTGCGGAGACTTTTTGCTATTGATTCCGTTGTGACTGATTTTGACACCAACAGTTAGCCCCCCAGCTCGCTAGAATCTTGAGCCTGCTGGCGATCTAAGTCGCCTGCTGGCGATCTAAGCCGAGCTGGCTTAGATCGCCAGCAGGCGATCTAGTCGGGAACCTTCTAGTTCGCCTGCTGGCGATCTAAGCCAGCTCGGCTTAGTTCGCCAGCAGGCGGACTAGTCGTGACTAGTTCGCGTTCTGCGGCGGTTTCGGTTTTTCGCGGTTTTGCAAAACGAGTTCTCGAGTTTTATAAAACGATCTTTCGAATTTTATAAAACGATCTTCGAGTTTTTATAAAATGATCTCTTGAGTTTTATAAAACGATCTTCGAGTTTTATAAAACGATCTTCGAGTTTTTATAAAACGGTCTCTCGAGTTTTATAAAACGATCTCTCGAGTTTTATAAAACGATCTCTCGAGTTTTATAATATGATCTCTCGAGTTTTATAAAACGATCTTCGAGTTTTTATAAAACGGTCTCTCGAGTTTTATAAAACGATCTCTCGAGTTTTATAAAACAATCTCTCGAGTTTTATAAAACGATCTTCGAGTTTTTATAAAACGGTCTCTCGAGTTTTATAAAAACGATCTCTCGAGTTTTATAAAACGATCTCTCGAGTTTTATAAAACGATCTCTCGAGTTTTATAAAACGATCTCTCGAGTTTTATAAAACGATCTCTCGAGTTTTATAAAACGATCTCTCGAGTTTTATAAAACTGCTGCGTTTACGCGTTTGCGGGGAATTTTGGCTATTGATTCCGTCGTACCGATTTTGACCCCAACACGCCTGCTGGCGAACTAAGCCAGCTCGGCTTAGTTCGCCAGCAGGCGAACTAGTCGTGACTAGTTCGCGTTTTGCGGCGGTTTCGGTTTTTCGCGATTTTGTAAAACGATTCTCGAATTTTATAAAACGATCTTCGAGTTTTATAAAATGATTCTCGAGTTTTATAAAATGGTTCTCGAGTTTTATAAACTGATTCTTCGAGTTTTATAAAACGATTCTTCGAGTTTTTATAAAACGATTCTTCGAGTTTTATAAAACGATTCTCGAGTTTTATAAAATTATTCTCGAGTTTTATAAAATGATTCCCGAGTTTTATAAAACGATTCTCGAGTTTTATAAAACGATTCTCGAGTTTTATAAAACGATTCTCGAGTTTTATAAAACGATTCTTCGAGTTTTATAAAACGATTCTTCGAGTGTTATAAAACGATTTCTTTTATATTTTCTGCGGAGACTTTTTGCCATTGATTCCGTTGTGACCGATTTTGACACCAACAAACCCCATATTTCATGCAAGAACATGAGCAAAATGGGAAAGGTAATAATCCATCAATCTTAACTCATATTCAACTGATTCAGTTTTGTGGTGTATCTGAACTAATGGCTCTTCTGCAGAGTTCATTTGGGAAAGTAACAATCCAAATCGACTATGTGGTAATTTGGGAGCAGTTGCATGTGAATACAGTTTGTTACCAGAAAGTAAAAGTGGTCCCAAAAATCTTGAAATGAATTTAAGTGGTCTAACAAGTAAAAAAGCACCACTTAATTAATGTTTATAAATCAGGAGGTTTTGTTCATATTTGTGTTTTTGTGATTTTAAATCCATATCAAATCCATTTTGAGATCAACCCAGTAATACCTGATGCCATTATCTCAACTAGAATGATTCTTAATTGTCATTGTTTTCAAAGTATTTAATTAGAATGGTCATTGAGATAAAACTAATATTACATATTGTGAATTCGGGCGAGGAGATACGAGATTCGGTTATGAGCCTCCTGGTTTTCAATAGAAAAAAATCAATGCATTAATAAATCTATATGATTGAATAACACATGATTTGAATTAATATGTATAAGTTATAGAACCAATAATATATGATTTTAACTTGGATTCTAAGATTCTGTAATCAATAACACTTAATTTAGTTTGGATTGCATACTCCATTACTATACCAAAATTAAGCAACCATTTTGCAATACTATCTCTTATAAAGGACATTATCTAGAATTCAAGTACCATTTGGTACATTACATGGAATTATATTCTGATATTGTAACAGTAAAATGTGTGAAAATCATATTATTATATTGTTGAGATTGATATGAATAAAGGAATATACATGTATTATATAACTCTAACCTGATAATATTAATTTATTTACATGAACATGTGAACTGTATTCATTAACAAATCAAAGACTACCTGTTTCGGTAAACCCACATCTAGACATTCCATTTAACAAGATTGTAAAAGACGAACTATAAATTGCCTCTATCATCATCAACACACAAGCACTATCAACTAATTCACTTTGATTTCTTATTTACTTAATAAAAAGGAATCTAAGATGATGAGAAATGGTTTTTTGATTATGGTTCTTGTTTTTGCGATGACTTTGTCGTATCCTAATGCTCAACCAACAGATCCTGAGGCGTGTCTGAACGCATTTAAGGGCACTTCAAAAGATTGCCGCGATCGTCTAAGCGGACTTCTTCATTTTCATTTCCGATTCGGTGGGCTCAAGAAAGCTTGTTGTGGATCTGTTGCTAATGTTACAGATGTCTGTTGGCCAGTCATCTTTCCGAGCATGCCTTACATTCGTTTTGTAGTAAAGTATGTTTGCACATTGCCCATTTTAGATTGAAGTTTTTGAGTATTTTATGTGTATTGTATTCTTAAAAGTGACAATAAAATATCATCTAAGAGGAAAATTATTCACGGGTAATCTTATTTTCGCATATTTTTATCATTTACATGAACGTGTCAACTGTACTCATCTACAAATATAAAAACTACAGCAACCCCATATCGATAAATGCCAATAACAAGATTGTACAAAACCAAGTATAAATGGATCTATCATAATCAACACACAACCACTATCAACTATGGGGCTGTTTGTTTCTCCATTTGTAATCTCCGTTTAGCTGATCCATCTATATGATCTATCCAAATAATTCATCCAGATTTTAGAAATTGTTTGTTTTTCTATCGAGATGAGTTATCTAGATGAACCATTTGAATGGATTTCATGTTTTTTTTTTCATTCAAATGAGTTTGATAAACAAATTACATATATACCCTTGTTTTAATTTAATCAGATGTTAGATATTAATTTTAACTATACTAATTAATATTATTTAGTCTAAAATATATTTAAACTAAAATTATTTTAAAATTATCATTTTGACATTTGTAAAATTTTATTTCCTATAAATTTATAATTTTTCATTTCATATAAATTTATAAAAATTCATATATTCATTCATTTATTTAAAATTGCATTAAAATATATAGCTTCTAATAAAACTCAAAGTGAAAACTCAAATTTGAATAAACTTCCAAACAATTCAAAGTAGAAACTCAAATTTAAATTATTCACTAGTAATCTTATTTTCGCATATTTTTATCATTTACATGAACAGGTCAACTGTACTCATCTATAAATAAAAAACTACATGTTTCGGTAAACCCATATCAAGACATGCCAATAATAAGATTGTCTAATCCTTTAATCTTCACTCATATTCAGCTGATTCAGTTTTGTCGTGTATCTGAACTAGTGGCTCTTCTTTAGAGTTCATTCGGAAAGTAATAATCCAAATCGACTGAGTGGTAATGCTGGGAGCACTTGCATGTGAATACATTTGTTACCAGAAAGAAAAAGTGGTCCAAGAAACCTTGAAATTGAATTTAAGTGGTCTAAAAGTAAAAAAGCACCACTTCATACATGTTATTATTACTTTTTTCAATCAAACTTGTTTTTTGGCAAAACATTTTATCATCGTTTTGATTATTGTAATGCTACATGTATATAGTTTGTATTGTAATGTTAATGGTTTGGTTTTGATTACTGTAATGCTACGTGTATATAGTTTGTATTGTAATGTTAATGGTTTGGTGATTTTTTACTGTTTCTTTAAACTTTCTAATTGTTTGTTAGTGATTCAATTCATTTGTAACAGTTTGTTTGTCCTTGTTTGTGATTTCTGTAGCTTAGCTTCATTTATTCATCATCTACTTTTGTTTTAGTTGTTAATTTTTGGTTCACATAATATTTTAGAAAATTGAGAAATTCCGATAAGTGGGACATCCGAAATTCATTTCTAGTAGACAATCGTCATTGGACAACTATTTTTCAAAATCATATTAGAGGTTGTTTGTCATCTAGGATTTCCATCTGCAGGAATATGGAATTCTGATACAATACTAGACCACTTAAGGGACCGGGCAATAATAACTTGTTATTTAGCTTATATCCGTTACTTATCTCATTACCGTCTTGAAAAATTATGTATTTGGATGTTAAGTCAAATAATAAAACTTTTTTATTACTTGCACGTATGAATTCTCTATATATGTCTAATACTTATCACGCTATATACTCCATTACATATTACTCGTTACAAAATACTTGTTACCCATTAATAAATACTCATTATTTTCTAATATGAATTTGTTATTCGTTAATACGTATGTGTCAATTTCAAAATAATGTATTTTAATCCAAAATTTATCAAAATCCAACCAAATGCAATGTAATTGAAATAAATCTGAATTCGAAGTAGCTAAAAATAAATCCAAATCCACTATACAATAAGAATTCTAATGTATTTATTGTATATAATATTCAGTTATGCATTTTAATTGATTTGAGAATCTAATTCAAGTAAAATTACTGATTCAAAAATCTAATATATGTATTTTAATTAATGTTCATAAATCAGGAGGTTTTGTTCAAAATTGTGTTTTTGTGATTTTAAATCGATATCAAATCCATTTTGAGATCAACCCAGTAATACTTGATGCCATCATCTCAACTAAAATGATTCTTTTCATTGTTTTCAAAGTCTTTAGTTAGAATGTCGTTGAGATAAAACTAATATTACATATTGTGATTTTAATTATAAGTGCCGTTGAAATAAAACTAATTATACATATTGTGATTTCGAGCGTAGGAGATACGAGATTCGGTTATGAGCCTCCTGGTTTTCAATAGAAAAAAAAAATCAATGCATTAATAAATCTATATGATTGAATATCACATGATTTGAATTAATGTTTGTTGGGGTCAAAATCGGTACGACGGAATCAACGGCCGAAACTTCCCGCAGAAATATAAAAGGAATCGTTTTGTAAAACCCAAAGAATCGTTTTATAAAACTCGAGGATCGTTTTATAAAACTCGAGGACCGTTTTATAAAACTTGAGAATCGTTTTATAAAACCCGAGGATCATTTTATAAAACTCGAGGATCGTTTTATAAAACTCGAGAAGCCGTTTTATAAAACTCGAGAAGCTGTTTTATAAAACTCGAGAAGCTGTTTTATAAAACTCGAAGATCGTTTTATAAAACTCAAGAAGCCGTTTTATAAAACTCGAAGATCGTTTTATAAAACTCGAGAAGCCGTTTTATAAAACTCGAAGATCGTTTGTTGGTGTCAAAAACCGCACTCTCGAAATCAACGTCTGCGATAACTTCTGTAAAAGGGGGATCATTACTTTCCGCAAAAGTGATTTTATAAAACTCAGAGATCGTTTTATAAAACTCGAGAATCGTTTTATAAAACTCGAAGAATCGTTTTATAAAACTCGAAGAATCGTTTTATAAAACTCGAGAGTCGTTTTATAAAACTCGAAGAATCATTTTATAAAACTCGAGAAATCGTTTTATAAAACTCGAAGAATCGTTTTATAAAACTCGAGAATCGTTTTATAAAACTCGAAGAATCTTTTTATAAAACTCGAGAATCGTTTTATAAAACTCGAGAATCGATTTATAAAACTCGAAGAATCGTTTTATAAAACTCGAAGAATCGTTTTATAAAACTCGAGAATCGTTTTATAAAACTCGAAGAATCGTTTTATAAAACTCGAGAAATCGTTTTATAAAACTTGAAGAATAGTTTTATAAAACTCGAGAATCATTTTATAAAACTCAAAGAAACGTTTTATAAAACTCGAAGAATCGTTTTACGAAACCGCAAAAAACCGAAACAGTCGTAACACGCGAACTAGGAGACACTCCACTAGTTCGCCCATCGGCGAACGAAGGACACTTCACTAGTTCGCCCATCGGCGAACTAGGGACACTCCACTAGTTCGCCCATCGGCGAACTAAGCCGGCCCGGCTTAGTTCGCCGATGGGCGAACTAAAAACTTCTCGGATATCCCGCGCCTCGATCTCCCGCATCCCCGATTCAAAACTTACGTCTTTCGACACGATCACATTCTAAAATACGGCTAAAACATCTCCCGTTCCATCTCGATCCGACTTACCGTTCGAGTTTTACGATAAAAACCGTAAAACTTCGCTTTCTCGGAAAGAACTCAAGGAAATCGTATAAAACGGCAACGGTTAAACAAAACACCGAACATTGCCTAAACTATACGATTTATTTGAGATTTCTCGTTAAAATCATAAAAACACGTTTTTTTAATAAAAAACGCCGAGTAAGTCGTAAAAACGTGTTTTTAATAAAAAACGCCGAGTAAGTCGTAAAAAACGTGTTTTTAATAAAAAGTCGAGTAAATCGTAAAACCTTGCGATTAACTCGAGTAATTTATTAAAAACAACGTCAGATCAGGAAACGATCCCGTAAAAAGTCGGAAAACGGTTTTTATCGCAAAACGGCCCGGAAGGACCTAAAACGCGATAAAAATCCATCTCGCGATTTCAATGGAATCTAACCCGCAGATTTGATAACGTTTTGACGGTTTATTCGCAGAAGGAAAATAAAGACAAGTTTGAAGATAAATAGAAGATTTCCGCGGAAGAAAAGGAAGGATCGAGAAAAATGGAAGATTCCCGAAATACTCAAATCCGGCAAAATGGAAAGATCGAACCGTCAAGGCAAGGAGTATATAAACCAGAGGCGTAGGGCAGAAGGGAGGGACGAAATAGGAGCTCTCATCTGAGACTTTCACAACTTTTCTAGATTTAGAATTTTCCGCACTTAGAAACTTAGGCTTTTTCTCGACAAGTTCGGTTTCTATGACTGGCGCTCAATTACTAGACAAACTCGCCCAGGCAGTTCGATCTCTTTTCCAGCTCTATCAACTGAACTACGTTCGACTTGATCTCCGAAAGGGGTACGTAGGCAGCCTTTCATAAGGTTCAGTCCGAAATTATTCAAACCTTTTTTCCTATCTTTTTCCGTTTTTCGTTATCGAGCTGCGACTCAACTAGATCTAGGGTTTTATGTTTGTAACTCGCTGATAGCCCCTGCGGCCAAAGCCTTTGTAATTCCTTGTAATGATCACAACGCTCTTACGCGAATCGGAAATAAGATCGACTTTCTTTATAAATTCGTTTTATTATGCTTTTCATATTTTCCGCATTTATTTGGTTACTTGTCGTTGACTTTCGCAGAGATCCGGTTCCTCTGGAAAATTAGGGTTTTCCTAAGTTTCTTTATTTAACGGAAATCGACAAGTGTGAATTTCGGTTCCCACAGTTTGGCGCTAGAAGGAGGGAGGGCCGGATTACTCTTACTCATAGCCTCAAAACACTTGATCAAAACGATGTCTGGATGTATGAAAGACAAAGTCGCAACTCGCAAAAAGACGCTGGTAAAACAACTCCAGCAGCGACTGCTCCTACAGCAACGCTCGCGCAAACGCTGTAGTACTCAACAAAATCGA